AAAACGGTTCTATGTAGGACCAAAAAGGGTTCTTCTATTGTTACAAGCTTGACATCGTAAACAATAAGCACGCAAATGGTCCTTTGAGTGTTCATGGTTCTATATTGAAGCACTGTCATCATTAAAGAACCCAACCTCACGAGTTTGACAGAATTCATGATTTTGTATCCCTTTTGTGTTTTTCGTTCGTCGATGTTCTTTCACTACAATACCCAGCATGCAACACTTCATACACTTCATACACCCCACTGTGATGAAGAAATCCTGACTTCTTAGCAGTAATCTTAGCTATTTGGCTTCATTTTGCTTTAGCTAGCAAGTGAAAGAACAATTTTAAGAAGCCCACCATCAAGTATCCCTTAAAAAGCCCCTCCTACCTTCAAGATACATCAGAAGGGGGTTTTCCCAGCCTTTAAACCTAAAAATATTGCTCTAGAGGCTATTCGTGTGCTGGTGTATGACGTGGGTAGGCATACAGACAACAGACGTTACAATGGCCAACTTTTTTTTTCCACTGGAGCACACCTTTAAGTAATTTTCTCCTTTATCTGAAATTCAGCTCCTGAAAAACAACCCTTGGATCTGAGGAGCAGTAATGAACCACGCTGTCTCTCAGACGGCGTAACTAATCTGTGTCTCTGACTCATCTCGAGTAACACTTATGTAAGAAACGTGTACGATCTCATCAGAGTCTTATATAACTTTCTTCTACGTCATACCACGCGACTGGACAAGCTGGTCAGGTGAGCGGGGTCGGTGGTCGGTGTGGAACTGGACTCTGTGATTAAGGTGGCCGAGAGAAGGACGCTGCACAAACTGCTCTCCATTATGGAGGATGATGGCCACCCGCTGCACGCCATCATCATGGACAAGAGGAGCATGTTTAGTGGCAGGTTGCTGTCACAGAGCTGCTCAACCGAGAGACTCAGGAGATCCTTTGTCTGCAGAGCCATCAGGGACTTCAACTGTTCCCAGTGGGGCCAGAAGAGAAGAGAGAAGAGGGAAGAGATGAGGACTGAATCTCTCAGGCTAAATCATGGGTTTATTTTATCTATCTGCACATATGGACACCTTACTGTACATCTTGCACACCTGGACACTTTATTTCAGTACCATTATCTGCACATATTTATTCAGTATTGTCATTATATGCTGTTACCTGGGCCTCTTTCTATCTATCTATCTATCTATCTATCTATCTATCTATCTGATGGACTATCTATCTATCTATCTATCTATCTATCTATCTATCTATCTATCTATCTATCTACGAGAAGGACACTTCATGTTTTTCTCATTTGCCTCTTCAACTGTGTTCAATAACACTCCAAAAAATTATATCCTGTCGAGTGAAATGATCTTAAATTTAGTTGACACGTTTCACTTGTTTTAAGTAATTTAATTAAGTAAAATTTAAATCAAGCTTACAACAATCTAAACAGGAGAAATATTAATTGCTTGGCTATATTTAAGATGATTTTACTTGACAAGACACGATTTGTTACAGTGAAAAAGGCTGATGTTCATCTCCTAAGATGGTTCAGGGGAAAGAATTCAGAAGCTGGTGATCATTAATATGGTACTGAGTATGCTTAATTTATTGATCTTAAAGGGGAACGGGATATTTAAGATGTAAACAGAGTCGTTCAGAGTGGTTTGGTGTGAAACGCTCTAGAGAAACTTACAGAGTCAGAACTGTTCACAGTGGTGGTGATAGGAACCAGACGACCTCTAAAAGCTCCCTCACAGAAAGTTACTACATGAAATGGTTATGAATTCCCTGCCTGATGACTGGGACGTTGCTTTATGATAAGCTTACACATAAAAACTGTTTGGATATCCAATAAATCACTTCCACTGTGAAGAAATCTCTACAGTGAACCATTTCCACTCTGAATGACTCTGTTTACATCTCAGCCACTGATTTTGTGAAGAAATTTTGAACAAAATAGTGGATATCCCCTTTAAACAAGCATTGCAAGCTCCAGGCTCCATAAACAACAGTTTGAAGTTCTGTGACCTTGATAAACATCGACATACTTCAGACCACTACAGTTCTGAAAATGAAGAACTGGTGTTGTTATTACTTTGTATCAAATGCTAAGATGACCAAGCTGAGCTCATCCACTTTCCAGCCTTCCAGCGACCGCAGTGTCACGGTGGCTCCGTAATTGCACTGCTCAGATTTTCAGAAATGGCTTTCGACATTAAGGAAGAACTTGTAGTTTGGTGAAATTCCCTGTCTCAACACTGATACTGGGCTGTTTTCTTCCTCCTGCCTGTTCCCTGCAAAGCTCTGGGGGCTAATTTAAGCGGCCTGGACTCCAGTGTGGAGGATTATCAGGAATCCAGTGAAATGACTCTCGCAGTGTGCAGGCTGTAGAACATGTGCTGTTCCAATCAGCTGCGTGAAAAAGATTTCAAATCAGCAGAGATGGGCGGCTAATTAGAGAGGTAAGTTAAAACCTCTCGGCCGTTAAGACGGACAGTTACTTGGCTAAAGAGGTCATCTGAGCGGTTCTGATAATCTTGTGCTGATCATAAACAATTCTAATCACATTTATATCGTTAAGCTGGACAGTCACTTCAGTGCAAGAGCAAACAAATCTCTCAGTACTGATGGCTGCGCTCCAGTACACATACCTGTGTTCTAGAATGCTTAGCTAGTACATAATTGGGTCTCAGAATGTTTATCTAGTACATCCTTTTTGTACAGTTACAATAGCTTTGCTAGTTTATACTAGTTCTGTAGAATGCTTGGCTAGTACGTAATTGGGTTCTAGAATGTTTATCTAGTACATCCTTTTTGCACAGTTACAATAGCTTTGCTAGTTTATACTAGTTCTCTAGAATGCTTAGCTAGTACGTAATTGGGTTCTAGAATGTTTATCTTATCTAGTACATCCTTTTTGTACAGTTACAATAGCTTTGCTAGTTTATGCTAGTTCTGTAGAATGCTTGGCTAGTACATAATTGGGTTCTAGAATGTTTTTGTAGAATTACAATAGCTTATCTAGGTCATACCAGTTCTCTAGAATGTTTATCTAGTACATCCTTTTTGTACAGTTACAATAGCTTTGCTAGTTTATACTAGTTCTCTAGAATGCTTAGCTAGTACACAATTGGGTTCTAGAATGTTTATCTAGTACATCCTTTTTGTATAATTACAATAGCTTTGTTAGTTTATACTAGTGTCTAGAATGCTTAGCTATTACATAATTGGGCTCTAGAATGTTTATCTAGTACATTCTTTTTGTAGAATTAAAATAGCTTAGCTAGTTCATGCTAGTTCTCTAGAATGCTTAGCTAGCACGTAATTGGGTTCTAGAATATTTATCTAGTACACACTTTATGTAAAATTACAATGGCTTAGCTATTTCAGACTAGTTCTCTAGAATGCTTAGCTTCTACATAATTGTGTTCTAGAATATTTATGTAGTTCAACCTTGTTGTAGAATGCCTAGCTGGTTCATGATAGTGTTCTAGAAAAAAATTGGGTATTTCTGTTCTAGAATGCTTGGCTAGACGATGACTTGTTTTCTAAGCTTCTTAGCTAGTTCATGCTTGTGTTCTAGAATCCCTAGCTAGTATGCAAGTGATCTAGAGTATGTGTTCTAGTAGGGCATCTTTTATTTGTGTTCTAGAATGCTATGGGACACTTAAAAAGATGTTTTTTTAGTTAAGGGAATGGTTCTATTTTTAACCATGAGTTCTGTATAGAACAATTTCCTGCTTAAACGGTTCTTTGCATGGTGAAATCGTTCTTCAGATGATGGAGAATGTGTTGCATATGGTTCTGTATAGAACCACTTTGCAAATGGTTCTATATAGCACCAAAAAGGCCTCTGCTATTGTTATGATGTCAAGCTTACAGTAGAAGAACCCTTTTGGGTACTATATAGAACCTTATATAATGCATTCTCCATCGATCTGAGCGGTTCTGATAATCTTGTGCTGATCATAAACAATTCTAATCATATTTATATCGTTAAGCTGGTCAGTCGCTTCAGTGCAAGAGCAAGCAAATCTCTCAGTACTGACTGCTGCGCTCCAGTACACATACCTGCGCATACCTGTGTTCTAGAATGCTTAGCTATTCCATAATTGGGTTCTAGAATATTTATCTAGTACATCCTTTTTGTATAATTACAATAGCTTTGATAGTTTATACTAGTTCTCTAAAATGCTTAGCTAGTATGTAATTGGGCTCTAGAATGTTTATCTAGTACATCCTTTTTGTACAGTTACAATAGCTTTGCTAGTTTATACTAGCTCTCTAGAATGCTTAGCTAGTACGTAATTGGGTTCTAGAATGTTTATCTAGTACATCCTTTTTGTACAGTTACAATAGCTTTGCTAGTTTATACTAGTTCTCTAGAATGCTTAGCTAGTACATAATTGGGCTCTAGAATGTTTTTGTAGAATTACAGTAGCTTAGCTAGGTCATACCAGTTCTCTAGAAAACTAGTTCTCCAATTTGATAGAATGTACTAGCTAAGCATTCTAAACAACTAGTATAAATTAGCAAAGCTATTGTAATTGTACAAAAAGGATGTACCAGATAAACATTCTCGAACCCAATTACGTACTAGCTATGCATTCTAGAACACACGTATGTGCAGGTATGTGTACTGGAGCGCAGCCATCAGTACTGAGAGATTTGCTTGCTCTTGCACTGAAGTGACTGTCCAGCTTAACGATATAAATGTGATTAGAATTGTTTATGAAGAACCATTTCTATGTAGAAGTCATGGTTCCAAATAGAACCACTCCCTTTACTAAAGAACCCTTGAAGAACCATTTTAACAGTGTAGCCAGTGTTCTTATAAGTACGCAGTGCTTATTGTGATTTTAGTTATACCGCGATTTAAAGTCCCCAATGTACTTTCTAGTGTGCACTAGCAGGCCGAGTGCTCGAGCACACGCTATACTGAGACTCACACTAGCGAGTGTAGCTCCAGAGGTAAATCGGAACACAGCCAATGAAACTCGTGCTTTACGACAGGCCGTAAACGGGGTCCACAGGCATGGCGGCGCCCGTGTGTGCGCCATGGTCTCTGAGCGTCTGAGCAGAAATAAAGCGCCTCTTCTTCGCCCTGAAGCTCCTTCTCTGGTCTGCTGGGCTGAGGTAAAGGCTGCCGTGGGGTGTGACGAGGGGACACAGCGCTGGGCTCCGCAGGAGAGATGTTGAATTCAGAAAGGAGGTGACATTGGCGGTGACACTGCGCTCCGGCTGGCTGGAGGAGAAACGGGAGTTTTGTCTGTTAGAGAAGGTCCTGCAGGGGTGAGCGGACGGTCATGGCGCACCTGCACACCTGTATCACGAAGTGAGTTCCTTCAGATAAACTGTGTTTCCTTCCGCTTTCTTTTTCGCCAGCTTCTGGTTCGAAGTTTTCCGGTCCACCTTAAATGGTGCGGCTGTTAATGCAACCGCTGTACCATTTAAGGTGGACCGGAGCAAGAAGCTGACTTCAGCTTCGTGAACACAAGTAACACTCAAGCGCTTTGTGTTTCAGTGATGCTAGAACAGGGGGCACATCTTCGGTCCTGGGGGGGCGGTGTCCAGCACAGTTTGGTGCTTTACCTGCCCCAACACACCTGGTTATATTAATTACACTTATCTGTTAATTGCCATTTTAAGTGAGTGTGTTTGAGCAGGGAAACCTCCAAACTGTGCTGGACACTGCCCCCCCAGGCCCGGAGTTCTGGACCCCTGTGCTGGAACATCAGTTTAGTTTCAGTGGGTTCTTAGAAACAAGGCCAAAAGTGCAGTGGAGAAACATTTCTCCATCATTTCTCCATCATTTCTCAATCATTTCACAATTATTTCTCAGTTATTTCTCAATCAAGTGTTGCCTGATCTCCAGTGTGTTTACTGGGAAGCAGTGCATGCTTGCTTATCTTTGCGAGTACTAGGGCTGAACGATCTGGGGAAAGTATGTCATTGTAATTTCTTTGATTAATATTCCCACCACGATTTAAATCGCGATTATTGTCTATAAATTTAGGTTCAGGCCTTTTTTTGCCAAGTAGCCCGAAATACTGACCTTTTCTGGCTTAAGGCTTGACTCTGAATGAATTGTGTAAACACTCCTTATTAAACACTGCCAGGTACATTATTAAATCTAGCCAGCTGTAAATGTGTTTCTAAACCCAGATAAGTGCGAGAGTATTACTGAACTCAGCCACATATGAGGACGATACTGTCAGGAAGTTGGGGTTGTGATGAAACAACACATGGAAGTTTGGTTGCCTCTGATTGGCCCAGCTTATGTACAGGCAGGTCACAAGCTCTGTGTTATTAGGTTTAATTTCCCCGCTTAAAACTTAACCTGTTCAACTCCTTGAGACCACCGGTGGTTCCAAAACGCACTTTGTCAAATTCTTCATAAATTTCATATTTCATAAGCTTCATTCTAAAGGTGGGGGTCGTATGAGAGTCTTCTCTCCAGTCAAATAGATGGGTGATGTCATTTTAAACCCTTATAATAAAAGAAGCTGAACTCTCAACTTTGTTTTCTACTGAAAGTCGACCCATTTTTCCACAAATCTGGGCTATAAACTATAAACAGATGGCGTCTCTTCAGTGAGCTGCTCTGTAAACATTATTTTTATGAAATAATACAAAGAACGTCTAAGATTTTTGGCCTTCAGCAGTAAATTTTGAGCATATAGCAACATGTGTGATCATAAAACACACGTTCTGTTAATTTGAGGGGAGCTTTTACAAAAAATAAATAAAATACAATTTTACATTTATTTCATGCAGCTACTGAATAATTTGCCTTAGGATTTGGTCATGGAAATTCAGATGGAGAAACCGAAATATACCCTGGTGAATATTAAGTTTTTTTTTAATAATGTAGGCTATTTTAAGAAATTTCAGCTTTGATTTGAGAATTGCACCCTCTTAAATTGCGATTTCGATATAAAAACAATTCATCTGTTGGCCTTAGCTAGTGCCTAATTGTGTTCCTGAGCACTTAACTATAACGTAATTATTATATAATTATTACATAGTTATGCACAGTGTGTTTCGGTCCAGGTCCTTAAGTAGCCTGTAATTCTCATTGTTATTCTGGGATGTTGATTTAATGTGGGGAATGAAATGATTAATGACTACCTGTGATCACACGCACACCTGGTCATCCAGCATTTCTTCTTAAATGAAGGATATGAATAGTGAGGTTTTCCCCCTTTGCTGCAGTAACAGCTGCTGCTCTTCTGGGAAGGCTTTACACTACATGTTGGAACATTGCTGTGAGGATTTGATTGAGCATTAGTGAGGTCAGGTGCTGATGTTCTGGATCATCCCAAATGCCGTTCTGAACGCATCCCAAAGGTATTGGATGGAGCTTACCGCTGGGTGTGGTGAACTTAGGCTCAGATACTTCAGAGCGTCTTGTTCTGTTGGAAGTCCCTTTTTATGGAGATTGGTCAGTAGTAGTATTAGAACAAACCCAACTCATAGCTGCCTGAGTGGGGGGTGGGTGTGAATAATAAGTAGCTAATAAGTAAGTCAATATGTAATTTAATAGCTAGTAAGTAATTTGCCTGTTATTTGCCGTATTTTGCAGGATGGCTTTGTGGTCACGACTCGCTTGTCTTGGCTCGGTAAGCCGAGGACGTCGTACTTTGAGCATCTTCTCCAGCTCTTCTCCCTCAAACTGGACCAAAGTGGTTTCAGATGCGGAGAAGATTGTAGGATATCCCACATCATTCATGAGCCTCCGCTGCCTGCTCAGCGACGAACTCAGCAACGTGGCCATGCATGTGAGGAAGCTGGTCGGGACAAAGCACCCCTTACTGAACACTGCCAGGTATGAGCACATTATTAAACTTAGCCAGCTATGAATGTGTTACTAAACTCAGATAAGTATGACTGCATTACTGAACCCAGCCAAGTACGAGTGCATTACTAAACCCAGCCAGGTACGAGTGCATTACTGAACCCAGCCAGGTACGAGTGCATTACTGAACCCAGCCAGGTACGAGTGCATTACTGAACCCAGCCAGGTACGAGTGCATTACTGAACCCAACCAGGTACGAGTGCATTACTGAACCCAGCCAGGTATGACTGCATTACTGAACCCAGCCAGGTATGACTGCATTACTGAACCCAGCCAGGTACGAGTGCATTACTGAACCCAGCCAGGTACGAGTGCATTACTGAACCCAGCTTCTGTTTATTCCTTAAAATTAAACAGGCTGTTTTTATTACTGTGCCTTCAAGACTGATGATGCACAATTAAATGGTTAAGATGTAAACAGAGTCCGATTTCTAGAGAAACAGATTTCTAGAAAATCTTACTGAGTCAGAACTGTTCACAGTGGTGGTGATAGGAACCAGACATCCACCTCTAAAAGCTCCCTCGCAGAAAGTTACTACATATTATGGTTATGAATATGCTGTTTGATGCCTGGTGTAGTTTTGAGAACATTTTGTCATTAAACATTTTTTTTCCCAACTTATTCTTGGTGAAGGGGTAGATGTAGGGCCTTGTGAGGCAAAATAGTCCCCATAGAAAACGTACTTGTTCAGATTTTCCACTATTTTCCATCAACATTCCATATAAGCTCAGAAGACTCGTGTAGGTTCACTGGTGGTTCTGGATAGTAAATAAAATGTCTATATTTGTGTTGTAGTCATGGCGACCCCTGGTTCCTATCACCACCACTGTAAAGACATCTGAACCGTTTCACTCCAAACCACTCTGAATGGCTTTGTTTACATATCACTGACTTTGAATTATGCCAAAGATTTTAAAAGTGGTTGGAGTTCCCCTTTAAGTCAGTGTGTCAGAGCTGTGTAATAATTCTCTGTTTTTGCTTCGTTTGCATCTAATATTCATCTAATTTGTCCTCCTTAAGTGATTAAAAACACCCACCAGGTCCTGCGAGAAATTCACTCTTTGATGAAAGTGGGAGTCGCTAAAATCAGTGGAAAAAGAGACGACGGATTAGTTAAACTTCCACTTGCGCTCATAAAGCTCATTAACTCACTACAGAACTGCTGTGCTGGTCAGGGGTTCGTTAGGCTGAGAGCTAATAAATGTGATCTTGGTGAGAGTAAACAAATGCTGTGTTTATCAGTCTGGCTGACGTCTTGAATTGGACTCCTGATTGTTTTATTCGTTAAATCACAAGTTTTTCAGGGAAAGTAAGGCCCCCCTGTATGATCTGGTCAGTGTTGCTGACCAGTTAAGCACTGTGGAGCTGCAAATAGGGGAAATTAAAGTGCCGCAGGGTAGAAATGAATCAAAGAAATGAATCAAATGATTGATTGATTAAATAATTTGTCCATAAATTGTATATCGTCCATTAGTGCTGGGTGATATGACCTCAAATCAATATCACAATTAATTGAATATTTTACCTCGATTAAAATCAATGAGCAATTATTTTATTTTTTTGTTTGTTTTTTGCCCTCATAGCTCACTCACAGGGTCTGTACTGTAAATATGCTCTGCATATCTTAATGTAAATCATCTCAACAGCCAGAGCGAAATTCACGACTTTTACGTCAATCCAACTGGACATTCGTCATAATCTCGCGCTGCTGTGACTCATAAACATTAGGGGTGATATTTCTGTACAAAGATTAGAAGAGACTCATCTAAAACCCTCCGTGTTTGAAGAGATTTCTAAAGAAATGCCGAACGCGGCCGCAGGAGAACGAGGCTGCAGCATCAAAGAACAGTTAAAAGTCTGAAAGCAGAGTTTAAAGAATCCGAGGACACGAACCAAAGAAGTGACCGCGCCCTTTTTACGGCTCGAACACATTCTGGGTGATGAGTCCAGCTGTCAGTCAGTGAAGCTTCATGATGGCTCCTGTGATGCTGGTGAAGATGAAGCTGATCCTCTGGGAGCGACTGGCGTTCGTTGGCGGTCGTGATTGTTTACCTCTGGATGAGCCGTGAAGCAGCGTGACGCTCTGTTATTCTGTGCATGAGGGTCAGTTTAGGAGCTGATCTGTTCAGACTGATGTTGCATACAGATCACATTTAAAAGATAATCTGAACAGAAACAAAAGAATCGGATTTGGTGAGAAAATCAGATTTGGGCCACTTTTACCTGCTGTGTGAATGCAGCCTTAGCTTCCATGTTGCAGACTGGACGTGGCGGAGTCACGTGACAGTAGTAAGTTTTTAAGGAGACAGTACATGAACACACAGAGTCGGGAAAGGATGGACAGAATTTAAAAAAATCTAAATAATCGACATGGGCAAGATTGCGTCGGTTAGAGGTTCTGAATGTCGGTTTCGATTACTTTTCGATTAATTGCCCATCCCTATCGTCCATATATCATATTTTATTTATATATAATATATTTATAAGTATTTGTATGTATGTAGCTCATCGTACCACATAAGAACGTCTCCATTTTCGTGAAGAAATGAAAAAGCGACGAACATAATGCAACGGGCCGCGATTTCAAGAGGCGGGACCTTTCGGCTAGGACTGTTCCGTTTGTGTGACCAGTTGGCTACTAAGGAGGAGTCTTCACAGGACAGTCCTACCGAGGGGTCAGCCTAGGCTTTGGAACGCAGCTGTAGTCTCTATATGGTGTTTTGTCCATATCATACAGCCTTAGCAGAGCAAACAACATGGAGTGAGAGGCTAAGATTACCCTTGGGCACCGTGGACATGTAATGTTAAAGGGCCCATATCCTACATTTGGTTTCTTTTTTCAGAGGTCCACCTCTGACATTTGTGGAGTTTTATGTCCATTTACGGTTTTCCAATTCTCTCAGAATAAACCGACTGCTTTTGTTACTGCACCTTAAAGACAGATGTGAATGAGCTCTGTTCGGATTGGCTGACCAATATTGTGCCTCAAATGGGGGAGCCAACTTCGGTCCAAATCGGCAGGCAGTTCTTGTAACATCATAAAACAATGACGTCAATAAACAAACAGCTTAGTTTTCACAGGTGGACTGCATGGAGTGGGCAGTGTAGAGTAAGACTTGCAAGACTTGTTTAGATACTACATCAGACTTTTCTGGAAACAAAGTGGGCAGAATGTGTTTTTTCCATGGTATTGACCCTTTAAAGCACAGATTCCTCCTTCGCTATACTATTTCACTGATGTTGCAGCTGCATCTTCATGGTTTCTCCACATTGCCATAACAAGACAGGTCACAGTCAGGCTCCCTCCTGTGGCTGTCGCCGGCAGTTCCTGTCTAGCTTTCTGCAGGCTAAACGAGAGATTGACAGGTGCGAGAAACTAATGACTGACCAAACATTAAGATGCGGTGGAGGACAGACGTTTGGCTGATTTCATGCCAAACAGTGTTTCTAGGCTTAATGATGCAGACGCTCAATCAAAGGAATACTCCGGTGTTTTTCAACCTCATCTCAAACTACTGCGACTGTAGTTTACAGTCAGTTATTATAGATGTTAATTTCCAACAAACGACCACAGACGATCCAGTTCCCTGTGCTCAGAGAAAGAACAGAACACCAGTTGGGTCTGAGCTCGCTTATAATAGAAGCCAATGGACAGATGATGGAACACCTTCCCGCTGGCTTCAGTATTACAGCTTATATTTGAACATTTGAGAGCTTGGAATATTAGGAAACGTCCTCTGGACCTGATGTGAGCAGTCGGGTCCCATTAGATTCAGACGTCATTCCTCGCGTATGTGTAGGTCTCGAGTCGGGTTCAGATTTCACATTTGGGTTCCCACAGCCTGCCTCAACCCTGCTTTAGTTTTACTCGCCCTTTTAAAGTTCCTCCTTACTTTCATTAGCATGAAACAGTTTAAATCTGGGAAAATGGATGCACCGAAAATAGTGTTTAGCAGTCAAAACCATGTTTAAAATATTTGGCCAAAAACATTTCATGGTCAGTAAATCATGTAACGTGTTCTTTATAAAGGAATAGTGTTTTAGGATTAAACTAGGCTAACACAGCGAATTGATTATTTAATTAAAAAAACTGGTTTTATTTTGCGCATTGACTGATGATTGGCCTGATTGGGTCAGGTTTGGACAGGATTTTCTTGAGTTCTGTTCAGTTTCAGACTCAAAACCTAATAATGTGGTTCAGGTCAGCATTGGACTGAAAGTTCTCGGGCTGTTTTTGGGTTTAGAGCAAAATGTTTGGCCTGATTAAAGCTCTGTTAAACATTTTGTTCTCTTACGTGAACACAATTATGTTTAACATAGATGATAGATGATAATGAAAGTTATTATATTGATGCAGACATTGGGTAACGGCCCATTCTGCTGAAGTTCGGCAGCATAAGTAGTTCCAGAGACTGTAAAACACTGACTCATTATGGCACAAATGGCACGAATGGGAACCATCCCCAGATATGAATGTGTATTTATTTTAAATTTGTACAGATTTTTCCATTTTTCAGAACTGCATGTCGTTCCAGGCATGTTTTTTTTCTAGAGCCATATGTTTGAGCTGAGAGCTATTTTAAGAATCTTCGGTTTTTAATACGGATTTTATCGGTCAGGCGATGTATCGCTGTATGTAACCCATAGAAGCTTCCCAAAAAAAGATATGTTTACGTCTTTGGTGACGGTTGGGATGCCCTCCATTTGAATGACACGCAGAGTGAAAGTTACAGAGAAAGAGAGGATTAGTTGGGAGGGGTGGGGGGGGGGTAGTTGGAGAGAAATAACTGGAACCCAATCTCACCCATCCAGACGACAGTACTGGAAACTGGAGCCCAAGGGTGTAATAACCTATACACCTAAATCTGATATGACAATCCATTTGGGTGTTGGTGCAAAGGGAGCTTGGAGGGTACCCTGTCTCCCCCCCTCCGTGTCAGCGCAGAGTCAGCCTTCTCTTCTTTCTTT